TGTTAAAACCATCAAATCTCCCGACCTGTTCAATTTAAGGTCAGTGGTACGCTTTTTGATTACAAAAAACATCCGATGCCGACAATCATCACCAGATGACTGAAGGCTATATGCCCCTCGATGTATACAGTATACATAGATGATGGCCCATATGGCCCTAATGCAATGAGTATGGGTAAAGTGCGGAAATAGGTTTTGTAATGTAAAAATGGATTTTTTTAATTTGTGGCTTTCTGCTAAAAGTCTGGGTATCCATCACAACACAATTAATTCCATCTGAAATGAACATGTTTACAACCATTTCTAAACTCCCTATCCTATTTCTGCACCTTAGCCTCAATCATTGCATTTGGGTAATAAACTTCAGTCATCTGGCGATAAATTTTGTCATCGGATATGTTTCTTGTAATCAAAAAGTTATCACTGTTTTATATTTTTCCGAAACAAAAAAAAAACTTTAAATAATATAATATTTAATTATAATATTTAAATAATAAAAAAACTTTAACTAAAAAAAAACTTGATATTTTAAATGCGTTTAAACAAAAATATTTTAATTAATGTTTAGTATTCCGTGTAAGTATTGATAAAAAACTTTTAACGAACAAACAAACAGCCTTAGTTACTCGTAATGCTGCCAAATAATAATTAATTCACAATAAAGATTAACTTAGCATAATCACTTTAAAATAATTTATTAACTGCGTTTGCGAACGTTTTTAAGAGAATTGACCTTTTAGTCAGAGAATTAAAGTAATCGCACCAACGTACTCTTATTTAATTTGGTATTGTATTCTACCACCTAGGTTAGTTGGACAGTTTCTGTTATATTAAAATTAAATATAAAAAACTGTTGTACAAACAATAATCATTATTTGGATTTTTTTTAAAGATGCCTGTATTTATAGTTTATTATTTTGACTCTCCTACTACATTGACTTAAACTTATATTTTTCAAACGAAAAATGCAGTTGACCCATGCATTAGTAAAACAGTTTTTCATAATCACTTCATACACAAAGAGCCTAGACAAACAAATCCTTAAATTGGGCTTAAATTATTTGAGTTAGAAATTAAATACTCATTGAGATTTGAAACATTTAGTTTTTCTGTTTGAACAAATTGCTGGTTTGTGTTTGAGGCTATAAAAAATCAACAAACCCGCGTTTAATTTAATTTTTAATACCCAATCATCGTTCATTTTTATTTGTATCAGTAGAATAGCCAAGTTTGATATTTTTAACAAACGATATACAAGGAATGGTCCAATTAAATATCCAAAAAGTAATTAACTTATTTGGTTTAGTTTACCAAATTAAAATTCTAAATATTTTACTTAATTGTACATAAGAATTTAATACTTAAATTAGTAGAAACATTAAAGGAATATATTTTACGTACAAATATCTTTTATATTAACAAAGGGAATTTATTTTTAACCAAAGAAAGCCAAGAAGCAATCTTCAATCATTTGGATGAGAGCCAGTATACTGTAGTAGAAGAGTGAAAATGGTTCTATTCTACGGAACAAAGTCATTCAACCGAAAGTGGTTCTTTGTATTAAATATGTGGTCATATTTATTTTGTAAGATAAAATGATTTGATGCATTAGAGATGTATAACAAGTACGATATCTTAGGTTAGGTGTTGTTTGATCCTAATCAAATGGAAAATATCTCATTACTATGTATATATTTATTTTTTTCTGTGTTTTTTAATTTTATCTACGCAGTGTTTATTTTATTAACAACTTTGTCTTTGTATATTTCATTTTGAACCCCTGGTTTGAGCTTTGTGTAAAACGTAATATTCATTGTAAGATAGATGTATAAATAATCTGCATAGTATTGAATGAGCTAAGATTAATTTCTAAGCATTTCTTCTTATTTACTTTGGATTTTTCCCTTAACACTTAATCTTAAATCGTGACCTTTACTATATGCTCTTAGAAGAGGAATTTAATTTAACAATTTAACTAAAATACACTCGCCCCAGCAAACTTGCAGACTAAGCGAATTTCAATTCGTAAAACAAACAAACTAAAACGGTTTACCTTTCTTCATAAAAATAACAAGAGAATTTTTTGTGTTCAGTTTTCCTTCAGTTTTATCTGTAATCTAAAATCATACAACAACTCTTCAATGTACAAAATTATTTATTATTTATGCTTTAAACGATAGCTGTAGTGCAAATTTGGCATTTACTTTAAAGATCGAAATTTGAATTAAAAACAGTTAAAAAATTATCCCCCAAAACACAGTTTTCCCATTACCCTAACCTTTTGGCTTGTGAAGTGTTTCATGTTTATCTCGCCCAATACATTCGTGCCGAATTTCATCAAAATCAGGCCAAAATGACTCGAATTAGCATGTACAACACACGTACACAAATATTATATATTGAAACTTGAACGAATAGTGTATTTGTATTCTGGTGTAGGCTATTTAAAATTGAAAAGGTAAATTGGTCTGGGTACCGTGCCACTTATGGTAATATGTAAATGAGTAACTAAACAAACGAATACGATTGCTGAGTTTAGTGGTACATAAATAAAGGTACATTTAAATTCACAGGTAACATCCATTCGCCTTCCTCTTGCGTGAAGTTTAGTGCCGCAATAGATATTGTTTTTTTTTACATAGTAAAAAAATATTATTTCTGATATCAAAGGTGAAAACAGGATTTGCAGGATTGGAAGCGTTGTAATATCGAGCTAGGGTTCAGCCAAAAATATTGACTCAGGACTCAGGATGGTTTCTCTAAGCTTTCCAGTTCAAACCACATGTGTCGGTGATACTAGAGTGAAAATTGTGTATAACAGATATGTACTATATGACTTTATTTATGTGTAAATAATCGATTAATCCAAAAGATTCTAGGTACATGCATTACATTATTTTTACACAAACAGAGTTAATAATCAACGTTAGTTAGTTGCTAAAGTAAATAAAAATATTTGATTGTTCGCATTCTAATTAGTTTTATTTTACAGTTCAATGACTGCAATATTTTTTTTATCCTAATGGCGCTTACTGACAAATGTATTAATCCACGCGCAATTAAATCTTATAACGTTGGATATTGGTGCACAATGTATCAATGTATTTAAATAAAATAAAACATAATTTACGTGTCAGCACAACGTTAATTAATCTGTATGACGAGTTACGGTAGACTTGATTTTACTTACAGTAAAAACCATTAAAAGGAGTATTGCATTTGAAAATCATAATCGGCTAGGATATACAGGGTGTTTAAATAACATTGTATAAATGAACATTAAATAATGGTGATAAATGAGAGGATTTTCTGTTTGCCTCGATTAAAAGAGCTGTTTTAACAATTAATTATAAGAGCATATTGAAAAGTGTTTCTTTAACTATAAGTAAGAACTAGGTTATGGCTTCTAAATTGCAATAACGGGATTTTTTGAAAATGTGTTTCCTTGAACTCAGAATCGTTGTGACTGTTCATAGATACTTCCTCTCCTAATGTATTATATAACGGAGATAATTTTTGTTTTATTAGTTGAATGAAGTCATTTAACTGCGTAATAAGTTTATTTCTAACACGTAAAAAACACTAGCTTGGTTTTAGTGGTTTTACCTGACGTTAAAGTAAGTAAGCCCAGTATGAGACAAGAAATAGGAAATATGTTTATCCAAGCGAACTTTGATACCAAAGGAATTCCAAACTTGAAACTTGTAGTTTACAGCGGTATCACCTGTCACGCTGTGTTTTCACTTTATTGAAGGCTAAGCAGTTTAATTTGGTTTTTCAACTTACTTGCTAAATTGTCATAATTTATTGCAAGGTTATAGTGTTTTTGGATTATACATTAAGATTTTTAATAATAAAATTTTTTGTCTTTATTTTGAGTGTTGTAATAATATTTTATGGTTTTATAAATTCGTTTTATTGTTTAAAGTTATATTTGTCTAATATTTTCCTTTGTGTAAATTTGTATTTGAAAATGTTAAACTAAATTTTGAAAGTTATTCTGGAATGACGGTCGGTGAAAGGTAATACCAATAAATTTAGTTTTAGTTTATTTAACTTTTATCCAGAAAAGCTTTTCTGTTATTGGGTGTGTTTTTTATATCTATAACATTCTAAACGGAAATATCCCAAGATCTTTTATAGGTTACATGCAATATTTGTAATACTTTCAACCCATAACTTTATCCCTAGGATATAGATCGAGCAGAAACTACATATTCGGATATTCCATATTTCCCATGAGACAGAGGAAATATATTCTAACTGTATATTACCTTTCTTCACTAGCAATATAGTTGAATTTTCACACCTCGACTGGAACTCTTAAAGCCTATTTTTTGTTAATAAATTTACATTATATTTAGTAATTTAATATCTTAGTCCGATAACCGGAAAACGGGTTTGTATGCATTTGTTTTCAATACTGTATTTGGTTGTAGTGTCGAAAATATTATAGTATATTAAAAATGAAGAATCGTGGTGTTGAAGAAGTAATAGTAGTATATAAAGTGTATATTTAGTAGGGCAAAACTATAAAGTTTTTTGACGGGAATTCGTTTATGAAGCATAGCCCTTGATATTAAAATATTTGTTCTGGAAAATTTTTTAGGCTTGATTCAATCTAAGATCCTAATCGTTTAAATATTTGACATTGACGTAGTATTATTATTTCTGTGTTCCATTTGTGCGTGTTGTAAAAAGGTACAGAAAATAAGTTGTATGCTGAATTCAATTTGCGTAGACCAAAAAAGTATTTTACGTTAACTAGGCTCTCTACATATGTTAAATATTAGTTTAAAATTCCTCCAGAATATTTTGCTAATATATTTATGTAATTTCATTATAATCACAAATGATATATGAGTGGTGTCCGACATTCATTCTATTGCCCCATTAATAACATGGATGACATTTAATGACATGTTACTTTCGGAAAGAAATATGCTTAACACTCAACGCATATACATAAATATATTCCATAGGTTTTTCTTTTCACTTACTGATTTAAAGAGTGATGTCTCTTAGTCTACTCCATGTGAAAATCTGAAAGCAAAATAACAGTTTCTATACGTTACTTGCAGTGTATTAAGTTATAAGCATATTTAATGATGTGTAAAAATTACTTTAACCTTAACTTTAACTTTAACTTTAAATAATAGCATTGAGTATATAATAGACATTTTATGACAATACAACCAGAGGCTAATCTAAAAAAATCAATAACACATTTACATAGTGAGTGTTTAAAATTTACTCAAGTGATTAATTTTTGTGTTTTGCCAAGCAATAAGGTAAGTTAAATTAAACAGGCAGAAAGGCCTTTGGATGTTATTAATACATATATTTAACATATTGCCATTACTTATAGTGCCGTTATGTACTTTGAAATGATTTCATTTTATTGACAATCGATACAATGCAAAGTTTGAAAAGTATTTAGGAAGGATGTAGGTGATGATAGCTCGTATTGTAGTTATACTGAGAACTGTCGTAAACATTTGCTTACAAGCATGTCAAACTGCCACTAACGGACATGTAAAACAAGTGTATAATGTAGAGTTTTCTGATGGAAAGTCTTTCAAACAATTGATCTTAACTCATTTAACATATGGTTGGAAAACTTACTTTATTTTTATTTGGATAAATTTTTAGGACAAATGCCTTGTTTTTGTGTATTGTGAGGACTTTGCTAGATATTTGACGGATAAAAAACTGCTCTCAGTTTTAAATAATAATTGAGTACCGGTATGGAAACCAGTTGCCATAAATATTTTAATGCGACCAGGAGGCATTCAGTATAATAAAATATTAATTATTGATATATTTATCCTCTCTCCTTCTCTCACAAGCAAATACTTTTGTACTGTATACTTATATTGGTATTTTAGACGGTAAACGTATTCCCGGGTACCAAAATGTCCCTATGAGACTTCCTTACTCTTACCCAACGACAAATTGGGTCTGGAGCCAGGTCCTCCAGCGAGCCAAAGGCGAGTAAGAGAACATAACTTTCATAGCATATATTCTGTTGGATAGAACAATTTTGAACAAATTACCAAACTACTACAAATTATAGTTAAATGGTGCAGTTACAGTTAAATTAAATTTTTATTGTATTATTGCTATGGTTTGAAATTTGTTTACACAAACAGCTTAATCAATGAGTTGTGTTTTGAAAGTATAAGAGATACGAATATAAAGACTTAAGTGAGACATACATTACTGGTTTTGCAAAGCGTTTAAGGATATAAACTGTTCCACTTAAGGCAATGTATTGTTATAATCGCATAAACTGGCTATAAAGGATATCGAAATTCAATATCTTGATAAATGCCTACATACGTAAGTAGGGTACTTCGACATCGGTCTGGGCAAGTTCTTTGTTCTTGATCCAGCTTCCTATTCAAACTTTGTGAGACGGAGCAATCAGTTTAAATAGATTTATTTTTCTCGGACCTAATATTTTGAGATTTTTATATACTATGTCCGTAAAATTTTATTGTAAAAGGGTTATTTTGACTATAGTACGTGCAAAATCTGTTCAATTGAGTGGATTCATGTGATAGGCTGAACATTTACAATAGGTTTCTTTACATCGTGATATTCAATGTATTAAGTTCAAGTAGCTATAACTCAAAACATATGAAGTGAGTCTACCATGGTGAAGTAAAATCATGTTAAATAATTAATTATTAACTTTTTAAATCATACCTAAACTTAATCCAACATAACACACAGTTTAAAAACTGCATGAAATATTCAATATAGTCTATATGGATATAGTCTATTACTAAAGATCGTTTTTAAGGCGCAGTCAACATTTAATAATCACTCTACGTTCTACATTTTATAACCTTTACCTTAAAGAACCCTTTCAGAAGCAAATTAGATTATTTTTTTTTGTAAGAATATAAGTATATTTTTACTTTTCATGAAAATGTTTCATTCTAGTATACTATTTGAACCAATAACCTTCAACATATTTTTATAGTGTTTTCATCCTTATTACTATCATCTATATTTTTGTGTCGTATAGGTGACATTGACGTTGCAATTTACTGGGCAAATAGAATTAATATTTAAAGTGTCTCACGTATGGTCATTAGCCAATATAACTCAACGTTTAGTAGAAACACTCATTTGTACAAGTCTACGGAATAAAATGTGATTATTGATTAAAGATTGTAATGAAAATTAGAAAATTCAAGTTGAAAAGAAGAAAGTGTAAGAATTGTTTAGCAAGTTTTAACTTCCTTTCGACAAACGAAATCATACGCTAAATTAGATCTGGAATCATTTCTTTGCTCCTCAGAGATCGTTAAGACATTAATGGCACATTATGCTCAACTTTATCTTAATTTTAAAATTAACAATTTTATATAGATTGTCAAAATACTTTGTATGACAAGATGGCATATTAAATAAACGCAATAATGCCTTTAATTATGGCCAGGCGTCTTAATGTTAAGCATTTAAATATGTTTACACAATAATTTTATTTTATTCAATTTAGTATTAAATTAGCATACATTTTCCTTAAAAGTGTGTATTTGAACTCAATATGGAGGTACCTGACCGAGAAATGCTCTAAAAAAAGTGCTCTAAACTAAAGTGTTTTAGTAACTCTTCGATTTGATATTTAAAGTCAAGATATATAGGTTTTTTTGCCGAATATAAGCACAAGAATTTGCCACGTCACAACATGATCCACGTTCTGCTAGTGCAGTATCCAAGCAAGCTATGACTTAGGTGTAGTGATTAAAAATTTATGGATAAAATCTAGTGACTAAAATGGAAACTACAGTTTTAAGTTTAAACTTAATATAAACATTTAAATGGTTTTAAATAGCTGGGGAGCGATAGTCAGCAATAATCCCTATATAGTAGGTAGTAATCGCTGTTACTAGACCTGATGATAAACAAACTTGTTCAGTTATACTGAACAATTTTTAAATGTTTTAAAATATAAACCACATTTTTTTATTTCAGGCAGTGAAGAAAAACTGATATAATTCAGAAGAAAAATCACGGCCGAGCGGAAGGATGTAATTTTCAACTTTTGTCAGACTAAGGTAACTTCAAAGTAAACAGTATGTCTGAAATTTACAAATTCTTTTTTTTCTCAGGAAAGTAGATCGACTTTACATGTTATAAATATTTTTTTCAATTAATATAAATTCTTTTAAACAGGATTTAGGATAGTTGTGGTCAAAAGATGTAACTGGTATCACTTAACAATTAATGCGCTAATTTAATATTTCTTTAGTTATAAAAGCCTCTGAAATAACTTTGATTTATTTCGTGTTTAATTTCAATCAATTAATTAATTATTTAAGATGCCACTATGGACTTATTTTAACCCAAATATGAGTGAAGGATGAGGGTAGGATGAGTTTCGCAATCTTGTAGTCTTGTTAGTGACTAAGACCGACATGTTCCTTAGACACAGCTGCTAATTAATAGCCCATACAGCCAATGAAAACTAAGGGACCTACAGTTTATAGAGGAATCCAAACCACATTCTTGCCTAGGTATTAACGAATTGGTCTAATTATCAGGATAGTGATGCGGATAGTCGTAGTACTCACTCGTGCGGACGTTAATCAATGTTATTTAATCAGTTTTCTTAAATATCCAAGCATATGGTAACAAAGAAAATTTATAATTAATTATGCATGACCAGAGAATAGTAGTTTGCTTTTTAAATTGCGTCGTTACTACACAGCTTAATTATAGAGAATGCTACTTTACTTTCAATTGTACTTCGTAAGTTGTCAAACATGATTTAATGTTAAGATCCAATGGAAAAAGTTTTAAAATGGGGGGTTTCGCTAAAACCTATGTTCACACACTTCCGTATTTTCAGATGCTAAAATTATAGAAATGTATGATACCAAAATCTATGCAAGTGTTTTGGTAAAATGGTAAACGTGCGTTTAGACATCGTTCTTTTGAGCTTAAGTTTAAAGTCAAGTTATTAGATATATTTAACGCATTTAATTTAGCATCTAAAATATAATAATTTTTCCTTTAATGACAAGGCATTGTATGCGACTAAGATTGTTTCAATGTTTACATGTATGTACTCGGCAAGGCAGCTCTAAATACATGATAGAGACATAGCTACCATATTGCAATGCGCCTTGATCTTAGTAATCAAAATAGTTTATGTCACCTTCGTGAGACTAATTAGTATCATAATGTAGGTAATTAACGGCTAATGGTGTTAATTAATTTCTAACATCATATGTTACAATTTATAAACATCATTTTATTAATGCATAAAAAATATTAATGTACCAGAGATCTTTAACATTTAATACAAAGGTTTATAATGAACTTATTAAAAAAAGGTTGCAAAATATGAAAAAATGATTAGAAATACACAATTGCTAGCAAATATGGATGATTCCTTCCATGAAGTTTCAAACGAGCATTTCTCGGGTATGTCGCAGATCCTTTACATTTTAAGATACTGATTTTTAAAATGGTTTTAACAATATAAAAATTATACAGTTTTTTACATCTTACACTTTAGTTAAACGTAAATAATTTTAATCCAAAACGATAACAAACAAATACATCTAGAAGAAAAATGTATGTGAGGCGGGATGAAAAATCATTCAATTCATTCTAAATGTTAAATTTAGTAACAAGGCCCTACTCTTGTTATAAAAAGTATTAGATTCAACGAATTACGCAACAGATTAGGACTCTTTGATCTTTAATTGTGCTCAAAAGAGCGTCAAAGCTGAATGCCATTATTAACGCCTTAGGAATATTTTTATTTTATTTTTATATTCTATTCAATGCTTTTGAAATTATATTTAACACTTTTTAAAATAACTTGTAAAATATCAAGGTTAAATTCTGAATTTCGATGAAAAACAATTGACTAAATTTTAGTCATAGTGAATCAGGTAAATATGTAAAAATAAGTATATAAACGAAATTATCTATACAGTGTGGTACTTAAAGGTAGATACGGGTTTTTTATTTCTTCATGTTCATATCGAGGATAACCCCATATAATG